AATACAAATAAATAATAACACATACAGCTGTAAACCTACGTTTCCCCCTCCCTGTATTACCATCAGTTTTACCACCTAGTTTTTTCACTGGAGATCATGCCCTAGCAGTATATAGAGATATTCCTCATTCGTCTTACAGCTCTGTAGTTTTTCCAGTACCTGTAGATCTTTGTTTATTCAACCATTCTGTGAGGGATGTGGCCAGTCTATTGCTGGGGTTGTTGCCAGTCTATTGCTATTACAAATAGCGTTCATTGAATAACCTTATGTATATGTCTTTTTGTATTTTTGCCAGTGTATCTTTATGAAAGATTTCTAGAAATGGGATTTCTGGATAAATAGATGCACGTATACAAATTTTGCTAGATATTGCCAAATTTCTCTCCCCATGGATTGTACCATCTTTTACATTCCTACTAGCAAAATATAAGTGCCTGTCTCCTCACTTCCTTGTTAATGCATTATGTTGTTAAACTTAGATTTTTGCCAATCTAGTAGTTGAAAAATCATATCTCACTGTAGTTTTAATTTGCATTTCTTTTATTATAAGTGTGATTGAACATCTTTTCATATATTTAAGGGCCTTTTATTTTCATTTCTTTTTTTGTGAACTGTGTTTCTATCTCGTGCCTGTTTTCCATAGGAAGGTTTTCCTTTTCTTCTCCATCTTTTGAAGTCCTTTATATATATGAGGGATATTTACAATAGTGTGCTAAAGCTTGCTAGTGCCAGCTTACAAGTGCCGATTGTTAAATTTTTAGGAATTTTGTCATCCAATGGATGTCATATTGGTACAGTTGGTGTCTTCTTGGCAACTTAAAAGTTGCTGTGGTTGTTATATAAATGTCTAATCATTGGGTTGTGCACTAATATTGTAAATCAAATGTATTTGAAAAATAAAAACTTATTTTTAAAAAACTTGCTATGGCAGGAGTATTTATACCATGGTAATTAGCAAATGCTATGAATCAGGGCTCCTCCTCATCCTCCTCACCAGAATACACCACTGGACATTACTCCCTTTTCTACAATATAAGCTGGAAATATTTTTTCCCTGTTTGTAATTTGTCTTTTTATTTTGCTTATGATGCATTTTGCTATGCAAATATTTTGTTGTTGCTGCTGTTGTTTTGCATATCCAAATTTCAGTCTTTTCCTCTATTGCCTCTGGATTGTGAGTTAGAAAAGTTTCCCCAGCTCCTTGGTTATAGAGCAATCTGCTCATACTTTCTCCTACTATTTATTTAGTTTTTAAAATTTTAAATCTTAAATCCATTTGTAATTCATCTTGTGTGAAGAAACATATGATTGTGTCTTTCTCCACTGGCTATACTTTCATTCCCACACTATTTATGAAGAAGGTCTTTTCCTCCATTGATTTCAGATGCCACCTTTATCACATATTAAATTTCCAGGTGCAATTAGGTTTATATTTGGATTTTCTATTCTGTTTTGCAGTTCTTTGTATTTTCGTGCCAATACCATCTTGTTATTATACTGGATTTATAATGTCTTATTAACTGGTAGGGCTAGCTCATTTTCTTCTTTTGCAGGGCTTTCCCAGTCATTCTTGTTTATTTATCCTTTTTAAATGAATGTTGTAATAAAACTGTCTTAACTCTAAGGCTCCCTCTTCTGTTGCTTTTGCAAAGTGTTTTTTAAAAAAAGGCTTTGTATTTTCTGACTTCAGCCTCCTCTGTTCTGCTCTCCAACTTTTGTCTTGACCTGCTCTTCCTTTTTCTCCTAATAGCCTTGTTCTGGACAGTTTGAATCCCCCTCCCAGAAGCTTCCTCTTAGAGAAAGCATTTTCTATATTTCAGTTGGCATTTTTTGGAATCACTAATTCAGTTGCTAAATAGCTATGGGATTTTGGTCAAAACTATCCTCAGATTTTCTTCATCTATACATTGTAAATGAAAAGAATCTATTTCATAGGTTTTGTGGGGTTTTTGTCGTCGTTATTTTTACAGTTAGAAATCATTGTCCTTTGCGTTTACCATTGCAGCAGGATGTTTGCAAATTCCAAACATCCTCTATACCCAAATTGCTGCAGTTCAAATAAACTATAAAAGAAAGAAAGAAAGAAAGAGAGAGAGAGAGAGAGAGAGAGAGAGAGAGAGAGAGAAAGA